GTGTGTGTGTGTGTGTGTGTGTGTGTGTGTGTGTGTGTGTGTGCGTGTGTGTGTGTGTGTGTGTGTGTGTGTAAAACAACAAATGCTATTACAGCACTGTTCCTTTTTCTGAGGCCACTGCTCCCGATTTCTCAGGTCTGATATTAGCATTCTCATAAATAAGATAAAAATAAATATTTAATGAAACTAACAGTCTCAAGAGGTTAATTAAAAACAATTTGGTGTCCATTCATTCACAAGAGCTTTAACTATCTACTTTTGGCTCACTTTCCTGATGTCAGGCTCCAGAATGCGTTGATTAGCTTCTCATATCAGTTTCACAGAATGAGCAGACATGTTGCACCCAAAGCATCATGCAGCAAATAAACCCCTGAAATAACTGCGTGTTCTTCATGTTTCGTGGTAGGAATGCTGTTCTTTCCTCTGAAATGGTCATTTATAAACATAAAGCTCAAATGCTAATGGGATAATTTGTTTTGTCAATCAGAGGAGAACTGGGTCTTATAACATGCAGACGTTTAACAGGCTGCAACTGTGTTTGTCTGTGCATGATCATGTATGACAAGGCCATTTTCCAATCTAAAGTTTGACTTCCAGCCATTTCACATGTTGAAGTGAATATAGGAACCTGAATCCTGCAATACTGTACAACTTATGTGTCAAAAACAGCAAACGATTAATAAAAACATAAAGTGCCCTCTCAGGGTGTTTGCATGAATGGGTAAAAGAATATGGAACACCAAATTGATTTATTTTTGATCAATTTGGTGTTCCATGAAAGAAAGACAATCACACTTCAATGTGTTCTGTAAAACCTCTCCATCTCAGTCCTCTACAAAGGCCCTGGGGCCTCTTCTCAGTGGGACATGTTTGAAAACCTTCCAGGAAATTATAAGCACGAATGAGGAGGTATGCCAGACGGCTTCCTAATCAAATAGAAGAACCATCTCAACAGACTCCTGTTGATGAAGAGGAGCAGCGCTTCTACTCCAAGCTCCCCCAAGATGACAGAGCTCCTTCACCCTATCTCTAACATTGAGCCTGCCCACCCTATAAAGGAAGCTCATTTCAGCTGTTTTTATCCAGGATCTCTTTCTTTCTATATTGATCCAAATCTCATGACCATAGGAGAGGACTGGAATGAAGATGGACCAGTAAATCCACAGCTTTGAATTGTGACTCAATCCCTTCACCATGACTGACCAAAGCAACACCTTTATTACTGAGGTTGAAGTCCCAATGTGTTGATCCATCTCTAGATCTATCACTCATGTACAAGGCACCAAGATACTTGAACTCCTCCACTTGAGACATAAGCTTTCTGTAAAACATAATAAATGTTTATTCATGCGGACCATTGATTTACCATTCCCAATATCTTCTTCCATGGAGCAGAAAACAATAAAACGAGTGACTGTATCTAGCTTGGTTTTAATCTTGAAGGTTAACTTTAGGGTTTTTTATGTCTTACACAGCTTCTTTTTAACATCTGGAACTTTCTTCTGTTTAGTAGTGTTTATAATAGAAACTTAAAGCACTTGAATATTGGCATGCAGTTTGGTCCATGGACCTTACTTGCAGAAGAACATGGGGCAGATGTACTTGACACTTCACCTTTCAGTGTAGTGCAGACATCTCAGTCAGGTGAGAGACAAGGTACTTCCTGGTCAAGTCACGAGTCCATAACAGGGCAGCTTAGAGTCAAGCAACCATGCATGAACACACTCACACCTAAGTCCACTTTAAACTCTCCAATTAGTCTAACGTGTTTTTAGACTGTTGGTGGAAAACTGCAGTACCTATAGAAAATCCATGCATGCATGGGGAGTCCTTGTAAATTTTACAAGGAAAGCTGAACTTAGGATCTTCTTGCAGTGACAACCAACTGTTCTAATGTGCAGCCATACTGGAACATACAGTTATTTACCATCTGAAAAATAGAGAATATAGCACATAATTGACTACCAATATACAAAGGGTACACTCTGAATCAATTTTGAAAGAAAAAAAAAAAGTTTATGAACACATAGCTTCCTTCAATGAAATCAGCTATAATTTATCACCCATAATTCACATGATCTTTCACCAGAATGAACCAAGACAGCTCTTTCATAGTTACTGTTTTTGTAATAAAAACTAGAAAATTGCAATACGTGAGAGAGAAAAGAGAAGCTTTTAAAGTCAGACATTTAAAGCATGAAAAAGGAACCTGTAGAATTTGAAGCTCTTGCCAGCACTGGGCAGATACAGGCTGGAAATGCTGCCATCTGTAGGTTCATTGTTGTAATTACAGAATTGTAAACAGCTTGATGCCGATGCTGCTTTTAAAACAATAGGGCAAATGATTTTCTAGCCACATAATACAGATACAGAACAATGAATCTCGCGCCTCAGCTTTTTATAGTAACAAATTAGAATACATTTTTTAATATTAATTTTAGGAATAGTTTAATTGTATACTTTTACTGTAATATTCATTAGTTAGCTCTGTGAACGTGTGTATTTCCCACGGCCTACTCTGACATTTGAAGTAACAAACATGGCGGAGATGGATGAGCCGTAAGTAGCCGCTGATGAATCAAGCAATAAACCCCGAAAGATGCTTTCAAATGTCATTAACCTACGGGAGCACAGCACGAATCAATCTTCTATTATTCTCTCTTTTATAGGAAGAAAAAGAGGAGAGTAGTGGAGCTGACAGAGAAGTTAGTGATCAATTAAATAGAGCTGGCGGAAGGTTTGCGGTTTCTAGACCGGAAGTAGGTTGACGTTAAAAAGAAAACAGCTTGGTTGTAAACAAATTATTCGAGTAGCTAGTTTAAGGGGTATTGCTTAGATTAGCTAATCGTAAGTAACTAATATGTCAAGCCATTGTGTGTTTAGTCAGAGGTTTATGTTTTTTCTGAAGTAGCTCTAGCTTAAGGCTAATGTGTTTACATGTTTGGAGCTGAGGAGGAAATAAGGGTCAGAAACCCTCACCTGTCAGACCAACCTTTTTAATTACAGTAAAAGTTAGACCTTTAAATGGTGCTTATATTGGGTTTGATTTCTTTATCTGTACAAGCCTCTTCTCCTAAACTCATTGACCTTAAGCCGTGTTTCATGATACCCGAGAGAACACTGAGGGTTCTTTGGTGCCCCAACAATCCAGCTGTGAAGCATTCATTCTGCCAGAGGTACTGCCGATGTTATAACTTCATGTCATCTTCAGGATGGTGGTGGATGGAGGCTGTGGAGGTACCTGTGAATGGGAAGGCCGATGGAACCACATAAAAAAATTCCTGGAGAGGTCGGGACCATTTATACACCCAGACTTTGAGCCCAGCCCGAAGGTAGCAGTTTAATCCAGAGTTTTATGGCAATATTATCCTCTGTTGTGTGCCAGTTTGCATTTTTTAGTATACGTGTTAACATTTTATTTCAGTCTTTGGCGTATTTGTTGGAAACCTGCAAAATCCTGGTTATTGGTGCAGGTGGACTGGGTTGTGAGCTGCTGAAAGATCTGGTACGTTCAAAGTAATTTTGACATCTATTGAACATTGATTACTATTGAAATATTAATATGTGATTGGTTTTCTTCTCTCCACTCCACATTCAGGCTTTATCGGGCTTTCAAAACATTAATGTGGTCGACATGGACACCATTGATGTTTCCAACCTGAATCGTCAGTTTCTCTTCAGGTCAGTTTTCTTATAATTGTGGCACCTATTGTTATTTCACGATGAAAGAAAAGCAGAAATGAATTTTTAAAGGTTTGCATTTTTTAACAGGTCCAAAGATGTAGGACGACCAAAGGCAGATGTTGCAGCTGATTTCATCAACAGCCGGATACCTGGATGCCATGTGATCCCGTATCTTTTTAGTCACTTGCCATTCTTCATTCCTTTTAGTACAAAAAGGGCCAGAATTGTCCCAAATCCACAATCCTAATCACAGAGGGCACATATTAATTTTATTTAGTTTACAGAAAATTACATATCTAAGGCAGTAAAAGCCAATAAGCACTTAGTCTAAAATCGACCATTTTCTTAACAATTTATGCAGACATTATAAGAAAATTCAAGATTTAGATGAAAGATTTTATAGACGTAAGTATCTTAAGGACCAACAAGTTCTAATCTTTCTTGTCTTGGTTGACCCAATTATGGTATTTCTCTCTGATACATGATTTATGTTTGAAATATTCCCAGATTTTCTCTTTTTACTTTAAACGCCTTGGTGATCCATTTGCATTTAGTTTTTTCACACTTGGAAGGCACTTTTATAAAATCAGCTCATGATAAGCAACAACACACAGTGGGAGGCAGTCAATGAGACATTCCTACTTTAAATGGCTTTTAAGGTTTGATGTGGTTTAATGAATTTTATATACAATGATAGCTTTGAATCAGTTTATGCTTCACCTTTATAAGTGTTTTGATCAATTAACACTTTAATCAATTAACTCAAATCAAATTAATGTATCGTCTGTATTTAGAATTCCATATTATTGTCTGCGGTCTCGACTCCATCGTTGCTCGGCGGTGGATAAATGGTATGCTGGTAAGTTGTTTTCTTTTCACTGAAATCTTAAAAAGTTCCACGTTTTCTGACGCTTTGACTGAGTCAGATTGTTGCAGGTTAGTATCATATCTTTAATATTATGACTAAAGTTTCAACCATCTGTTTTTCCGTGCAGCTTTCTTTGCTGGTGTATGAAGATGGTGAATTGGATCAGTCATCCATCATTCCACTTGTTGACGGTGGGACTGAAGGCTTTAAAGGCAATGCCAGGGTCATTCTCCCTGGCTTGAGTGCCTGCATTGACTGTACACTTGAGCTGTATCCTCCTCAAGTAAGTTAGCACAGCTTGCTGCAAAGTAGCATCTTTGTTCAGATTTTAATTTTAATTTTTTTGCTAAGATCAACCTGTTTTATTTAGATCAACTTCCCCATGTGCACAATAGCATCAATGCCTCGCTTGCCTGAACATTGCATTGAATACGTTCGAATACTGCAGTGGCCTAAAGAGGTGCCATTTGGAGGTAAAAGTCACACTACCACTCCTTTTGTCGTTTTTATTGATGCTTCAGTGTGAGTTAGGTTTTGATTGTTAACTTCCTGACAAAAGGCAGATGTATTTTGGTATAGTCTCTGTCCTTCTGTACGTAGGTTTGTAAACTTTCTCTTGTCCTTTCCAAAACTTCTGATTCACTCAAGATAATTTAACAAAAAATCATACACTTATGCTTCGTCACTAGATAGTGTGTCATACACTGTTCATCACCCCACTCCAAGTTTCTAGTTTGTCGATGGGCGTATAATGTGCCGTACGCGGTTTTCTTGTTGATTAGATGGTGTTGCCCTGGATGGCGATGACCCAGAGCACATCCAGTGGGTTTTCCAGAGATCTCTAGAGAGGGCAGCAGAGTTCAACATAACAGGAGTCACTTACAGACTAACACAGGGTGAGTATGAAGAGCACGCCTGTTTCCACAAGCGTCTGACTAGTTTTTATACACCACCTCCGGAAAATGAGGTACCGTATTTTCCGGCCTATAAGTCACAGTTTCTGCGTAATTCACATGCCCTGCGACTTATACACTGAAGCGACTTATTTATGCTTTTTCCCCATATTTATAAACCAAATTTTGGCTGAGATATGACCATTTTGACATATGACTGTGTTGCTGTATTTGCATATTGTCCAGGACATCCTTGTAAAAGAGACCAATGATCTCAATGGATTTCTTCCTGGTAAAATAAAGTAATTAAAAAAAATTAATTCATTCTGACATTGAAAATATTGAACACTACCTTCAGCTGCTAGATGGCATTCCAGTAGTTTGGCATGCCGATGTGTCATGTAATAAGTAAAAGTGGCTATTAATGACACAATTGGCTTGCCATTGTCTGCCACCTTTGTCCAGCTCCAGGATCGTGCCTGGAACAACCATCAAATCAGCTTCATTTTGCTGCGTCACCCCTGCGAAATTCAGCTGATTTGACCATTGAAGTGCATTTATTAAGTAAAAGTTCAACTGAAACACACCTTTACTATAATTTCGAGCAAACAAATAATAGTTTTTAAGTGTTAATCTAGTTAAATTCTTGTTAAAGTCCTCTCGTGCACGCTCCTGCGGCCACCATTTGGCAGCCAATCGATTTTTGGCACAACACCGACCCACATTTCCAGGTTGTCAGCGGTGACGCGTAAGAACGCGATGTGTCAGCGATGACGCATAATAGATGCAACTTATACGGCAAAGTGACATATTTATGTTTTTTCCCCACTTTATTAGACATATTGGGACAGATGCGACTTGTAGGGCGGAGCGACGTGTACGGCAGAAAATACGGTGTATAAACCATAACGAGCTCTTCCACTCGCTGTGGATCCTTTGATTCCGGGCTGTGTCAGTGACTTTTATTTGTGCAAAAAAGGTTAAATTTGCAACATATTCTCTTGATGTTCACTTTAATTAGAGGATTTGCTTTGTTCTTAATTATTTCACTGGATGCTTATTGTTTTCTGTTTTATTTTAATTTAATGTTAATGAGGGAACAAAACAGACTCTTTCAATATTGCAGGTGTTGTTAAGAGGATTATCCCAGCTGTAGCATCTACAAATGCTGTTATTGCTGGTAAGTAGTTTGGAATGGACGGTAAAATAGTGGAGACCTAAGATCCTGTATGAGTTAACCATTTCTTAAAAGGACTGATTAAACACACAGGTGTCAATGTTTTTTCTTTCTGTTTTATTCCACCCAGCTGCTTGTGCAATTGAGGTTTTCAAATTAGCAACAAGGTAAGTTTTAAATCTGTTTTGCCACCTTATCCACAAACAAATGTATTTCATTTTGCACATTTGATCATTTCTCATGATGCAACCTGTTTTGTGCAGTGCCTATGTGCCTCTCAGTAACTACATGGTGTTCAATGATGTGGATGGCCTGTACACGTACACATTTGAGGCTGAACGAAAGGTTTGTCTTAGAATTCTTACCTCCAGTTCATACATGCTGCAGAGATTGAGTCGTGCTGTTCCTCTTCCTGATGTAGGAAAACTGCTCAGCTTGCAGCCAAGTTCCACAGGATCTGCACTTTGCTCCAGCCTCCAAACTCCAGGAGGTGTTGGACTACCTGACTGAGAGTGCCTCCTTGTATGTTTCTCTTTAATCACATGTTAGACTTTTTAAACATTTAGTTTTTGACAGTCCAGTGTAATGTTTTTTTTCAGGCAAATGAAATCACCTGCTTTAACAGCAACAATTGATGGCAAAGGAAAAACTTTATATTTGAAGGTAAAGTCACATTTGTTTAGTTTGAGTTTAATGATAAAATATTATGTAACATATTGTTTATTTTTGTGTAAAACGTCTTATCTTGTAAAATTTACAAGTTTTGGCTTCATTTAAAGTTTTTTTTCTTTTGACAGTCCGTTGCATCAATTGAACAGAGGACACGGCCAAATCTGTCCAAAACCTTAAAGGGTAAGGTGCTTTCCTGACATTTTCCTTTTTACATTTCTGTATATATATATATATAAAAAAAAAACGTATTTAATCGTGTTGCCTTTTTTTCTTTTCTTTTTCCAGAGTTGGGGCTGATGGACAGACAAGAACTGGCAGTAGCAGATGTCACCACACCCCAAACCATGCTGTTCAGACTTTGCTTTACCTCCTAACTAGTATAGTTTACTGCTTATTCAATCAAACTAATAATCATTACAACTAGTTTGACTGATTTAATGACATTATTGATAGGAGTTGATGTTTTGCACTGAAATCCAAATTATTGGTTATATTTTGTCATATTTTGATGATTATTTGAAAATGCCTAATTGTTTTTGTTTCTTATGTTCGTTACCTTGTTGTTTGTTACATGCAGAAAAAGGTCAACGAGGGTTTTTCTTCAAAATATTATTTAGTTGTTCTGAATTTGCATATTTATTTATTTATGTACAGTTATTTTTAGTGGTTGTGTTGTGAAAGTGTGAACTGGAATAAAAACTACTTTCTTAAATAATTTTGGTATCAAGTTGTAAAACATTTGAATATTGCTGATTCTTTGGACCTCTGCCTTGCACAAATCTCCTTTCATGCTGCATTTGTGTGTGTCGGAAATTACCTGTCAACCTAAGTTATTACAATGCATATATATATAATTTTTTTTTTAAATCAGTCTTTTTATTGAATTTATTTCCTGACACACATACACACGCACACAACAAAATCTCCTCCCACACTGGATCATGTCAGGCATTAACATACTTTAAACATAGGACATACTATAAATGACTGCCAAGTGTCCCAAAATCTCTCAGCAGAACGTTTCAGAGAATATCTAATCTTTTCCAGATGAATAAGACACATGACTTCTTTTATCCAGTGTTCATATGTAGGGGGATGCGAATCCTACCATTTGCATAAAATAAGTTTCATGGCTAGAAGAGAGCAATGCATAATTTTAATAAACCATATGAAATGTTAATTTTTTTTTAAAGAAATCTTGAAAGTGTAACGTTCTAACGCGAGACCTATACTGTATATGTTTGGTTTTTCTAAATTAAAACATGGAAAGCTAAATTTACGACTTTCCACGAAGGCAACATCTGACCCAACCCGGAATCGTGACGTCATTGTGCTACGTGGAAAGGAAGTAGCGAGCAGGCTAAAGCTAACGCAGAGCTGCGAGTCGAGCGACCAAAACAAACTAAGACGGCCGAGTAGGAGAGCTGAAATAAACCCGAATTAATCCTGGAATTTGACCTCATTTGACAACTGTCCCAGACTTTGATGTGGTATATTTACCGGTACATGTTTACACATGACAGACTTGTAGTGAGCATCTATGTTAAGTGTCGGTTTACCCGTTTTCCAGCTGAAAACTATCTCGACTAGTGTCAGACCGCTATAGCTAACGACTTTTCCAGCTTTTTAAACTAGTTTGACTGTAGCTCACCGTCCACAGAGGTTCTCAGGACAGAATCATTTCGGACTAACACCAACAGGTTATTGTAAATTAATGTAAAAAAAAAAAAAAATGCGGAGGGTGGTTAAGTGACGAGAGTGTATCAACACCGAAACCGTTAAAGTCAACCATTTGTGTTGCTAATTAGCTTAGCTTCTTCAGAATGAGTTGGTTCAATGCTTCTCACCTGTCCAGCTTCGCTAAACAAGCTTTAACAACAGCCCAGAAGTCAATTGACCGTGTTCTGGACATCAAAGAGGAGGACCAATGGGGGGAGACAACTGTAATGCCTTATGACGGTAAGCATATAGCGAAAGTAGCAAATGGAGATAAAATGTGAGAATCCATATCAAACACAAAGTTCAACCTGATGTCCACTTTTCCTTAGATGTTACTGTACCTGGTAAGCTTTTGGTAAGTGGAGGATGGGGAATGGCACAGTGGGAAGCGCCTGCTGAAGAGACCGCCACACCTCCTACTTCATCAGAAGCCATCACTACCCCTGTCACCCGCACTGTCGTCGATGAATCTGATAACTTTTTTAATGCCTTTCTGTCACCTGGAGATTCTCAAGCTGCGACCACAACTAAAGTTGTGTCTGTACCCCCTGCTAAGTCTCGGAGACGGCCTCAGGAGAAGGAGGAACAAAGTGAAACAGCAGAGCTTCAGGTCCAAAAAGATGAACAGAGTCAAAGGCCAGAGGGACCTGCTGATTCGAGGTCTGAGAGTCAGGGCATTGCTGAGAATGAGCCAGAGGACACCAAATCATCACCTGCGTCATCGTATTCCGACACTATCCTCCTTCAGCCAGTTTCTCCTGTTTCTTCTCCCAGTGACCTCCCTTTCAACCCTGACAGTGAAACAAGCTGTGTTAAGACAGATGCTGAGTCATCGTTTTCTGTGGAGTCTGCAACAGAGCAGCTAGACTCTTCATCTGAACATCAACCACAGAAGGATACCACAAACTCTTCTGAACCATCTCCTTCTGAAGCAAAGAGCTCTACCCCTCCAGATCCCTCGGCCTCGACACCCTCGAAGGAAGTACTTTCAGGTCATAAAGACTTAAAGACGGAGGATCGTCAGAATGACACACCCTCCCCTCCTGTTAGTGCTTTTTCTTCAGGAACCTCCACAACTAGTGATATTGAAGTGCTTGACCATGAAAGTGTGTTGAGTGAGAGCTCAGCCAGCTCTCGACAAGAAACTGGTGAGAGCAAAACTGGTCTTCATTTAATGCAGGGCTCCTTCCAGCTTCTCTCTGCCTCCACTTGTGGAGATTTTCCTCGACTTGAGGACTACCCCAAACTCACAGAGAGCTGCGGTTCCTCCTCCGATGCATTTGAGCGTATCGATTCCTTTAGTGTGCAGTCACTGGACAGCCAGAGTGTCAGTGAGGTTAACTCAGATGATGAGATCCCTGGCAGTCAGACTCTGGCATCTGTCACTGCAGGCCCTGCTTCTTTGACAGAGACGTGTCAGAAGCAGGATAATCCAGTGGCAGAGAATGTGGGGGAGGAGGAAGAGGAGGTCTACGTTGAGGCAGCAAGGGAGCAGTCTCTGGATGAGATGGAGGAAAGTGGGCGAAGTGTGACACCTGTGAACAGTGAGCAGCCTGAGGAACTGACAGATCTGGGATGTGATGGTAACGTCACACAGTTGGATTGTAGCTCTGAAGCTGAAGAAACGCGTTCTGCGCCAATCACAGAAGAGATGAAGAGTGTCTCAACTGTCCAGATTTTAGAGTTTCAAAAGGTAACTTTTTAAAGACAAGTGTAGCTTCTAGTAAATGCTGTAAAGATTTGTTTATTTAACGTCATTACCGCTATTTTCATACTTTTTGTGTTTATTGTCAAATATACTATTCTGCTAAAGTTCAAAGGTTTTAATGGTCCAGATTAAATAATAACAATAATACATTTTATTTGTGTAGCACTTTTATAAGTACTCAAAGACGCTTTATAGGAGCTTAAAAATAAGGTTTATAAAGGTATAAAACAAACGCCCAATTTCAATACATTTTTTATATAACATGTTAGTAAATACATGCAACAAAACCATAAATAGCTAAATAAGTTGTGCGTATGAGATTGGCTGATATGAGATTTTCTGTGGTTGATACAGATCTTTAGAAATCAAGGCAGCCGATGATAACAGCAGATTTGTTACATTTTAATTTTCGCCCCATATCAAATAGTAATCAAAAAATTCCAAGTCATAATTAAATTTCTTCACATTTCACAGAATTGATCCCCCCCCTGCAATAAATTAAAAACTGCGAAATAGGGACATTATATTAGTATTTATATTTTAAGGCTTTAGAAACCCTTCCCACACTTTTGCAATGTTCTAAACTCTTAAACCTACAGTATTCTAACAACATACGTACAGTACTGTGTATGTAGCTACTAAATTTTACTTACCTGGCTCTGCAGAAAGTTCTGCTCCGACCCAAGAGATGAAAAAAGTCTCGATTGGCTCTGGAAACAACGGCGGACCTTCGGCGGCCCATGTCCCCTCTTGGAAGTCCTCATGGGTCAGCCAGAAGCTCTCGTGTTCACCGCTGAGTCTGGGGGTCCGGTTCTGTGCAGCCATTCGGTGCCTGGGTTACACAGCACATGCACCGTTTCTTAAAGAGACGTGTCCTGACACGATTTCTTTCTTGTTAATCTTATGTTTGTAAAGTTAAATTTTCTCAAAGAAACTTGTCCAAGTGACCAACAAAGTCCATGCTCAATTATCCAGATATACAGTCCAACAATTTTCAGTCAGGATTATTGAGCATGGACTTTGTTGGTTTCGAACCAGTTTGACATGACTGTCGATGAGGGAGAGGGCCGACACCAGAGGAGGGGTCGTGCCAAAGAGCCCATCTTAGCACCAACAAAACTGGTTTGTTCCACTTTGGAGTAAACTGTTGGGGGAAGAATTAGTTTTGTGTTGTGTTTTTCCTTGACTGATGAAGCCTTCTGGATGGAAGGCGAAATGTTTCAGGGAAAAAAAAAGAAACTGTTCAGATGACCTGACTGAAAAATGTTGGATTGTCCAAGTGACATGATTAAAATCTCACGTTTGAAAATTCAGTTCGGCAATCATGACTTCATTTTCTGTTTGGCAGAAAGCAGCGGCCGGAGGCACTACAGCACAGTATTGACTTATGGGCAATGTAGTACGAGTGGTGATTACTGTGTAGGCTTCTTGAAAGAAAACTACAAAATGGCGGCACTTGTCCAAATTTATTATTATTATTATTATTAACTTTTTCCCAACCATGTCAGTACAGTAATATTACTGTAAAGTTGACAATTGTGTGTTGTGTACTGCACTGTACAATTTTTTTGTTGTTGACAAAAGTTGAACCACGAAGTAGCGAGGGGCTACTGTATATGTATATATTGTACTCTATTAATCCTCATTGGGGAAATTAATTATAGTTTCTGCAATATTTGCTATAAAGCCATAAAATCTGATTATTTGTTTTAGGTCATCGATGATCTGTCAAGTCGTCTTGAGAAGAGGGAGTCTCAGCTGCTGGCTGTTAGCAAAGACAAGGCCAAGCTAGAGGAGGAGTGTGACAACCTAAAAGAGTGAGTAAACCTCTCGCACGTCCCGCTTGCAAAGGCCTTGTAAGTTTTCATAACACATGCATTTGTTTATATCCAAATCAAATAAGGAAATGCCAAAATGTAGCTTTAAAATATCCAACAAACTATCAGAGAAGTAAGTGTTATGTTATTTCTAAATCCGTATACCAGCCCTGTGAATGTGTACGTGAAGCTCATCAAACAAGTATTTGAAAGTGTGTTTTTTGATCTCATTGTTCCAAGTGCTTCTAGACAAAATGTGCAAATGCTTTAAAGGAATGTAGGCCTTTATACTGATAAAGTGTATACGTTAACAACTGTTTATTCTTCAGTGAGCTAATAAATTTGAAGGAAGAGAGTTCCACCGTGCAGTCCTTACAGGAGGAGTTCACACAGCGCATCGCAGATGCAGAAAGAAAGGCTCAGCTGGCCTGCAAAGAGAGAGACATTGCTAAGAAGGTAACTCTAGTTTCTAGGGATTCTAGTTTTCTCCCTTTGTTCACACAAGATCACTTTAAATAGATGTTCTTCAAAGTTGTATAAAAGTGCTTCAGATAATGTGATATTTTACTTGTAATTTATTTTGTTCTGCAGGAAATAAAGGGCTTGCGAGAAGAGCTTTCTACAAGATTAAACTCCAGCGATACGATGGAGCTCATCAGAGATAAGGAAGAGCAGATCAGAGGTCTGCTGGAAGAAGGTAAGACTTGTTAAAACACCACCTCCTTACAGAAGTTGATGTTATTTGTGTCCAAATTGCTCTTACTTTACCTCATGGTAAAATGTTAAAACCTTTGGAGATTTATCTCAAGATTCTTCACTAACCATTTACCCAAGAGGAAGCACCTCATCGTAAATGCGAAGGGCCTTGGATAAACAAATCCTAATTGGGGGTTACGTATTGTCGCATTTAAACACATACTATTAATTTATAAGTATTCTGAATCTGACAGACCATGTGCAGTGCCAATCGTGATTCAAGCTTTGATTTAAAAACATCTTTATAAAGAAATGGTGTTCAAAAGACACCAGTAACTTGGGGAAACAGAAACTGTTTTGTGTGAATGACAGCACTGCACGTGACTGACTTTCTGAATGGCCTCAACGTCAATCATTTATTTTCTCTCGTAGGCGAAAAGCTGTCAAAACAGCAGCTGCAGCAGAGTAACATCATCAAGAAGCTGCGTGCCAAAGAGAAGGAGAGTGATGGAAAGATCACAAAACAGCAGAAGAAAGTCAAAGAGCAAGAGGATGAACTTAAGCTCCTGCAGCAGGTCAGGACCCAATAAAACATCCAGTATAACTAATGAGGCTAGAAAGGCCTTCGCATATTGTCAGGAGTTATCCATTCTTCTGTGTCTTGAAAAACGTGGTTAATATTTGTTCATTCATTGGTTTTGAAGTCACTAATCCAGTGCTTAATTTAGGGGTTATGCCACTTTTATTGTAAATGTTTATTCCTTTCTGCTTCTATTCCACAGTCAGCTGTTCCTGACCTGAGTTACGCTTGCTATAATTCTGATTACCTGTTGATTGTGTGCAGGTTTTAGATGGGAAGGAGGAGGTGGAGAAACAGCACAGGGAGAACATCAAGAAGCTGAATGCTGTGGTGGAGCAGCAGGAGAAGGAGCTGAGCAGGCTGCAGCTGGACACCGACGAGCTGCAGGAGAAAAACAGGAGCCTTCAGGCTGCCCTTGACAACGCTTATAAGTAAATATTAAAACACTCAGCTGTTAATACTGAGAACCAGAGATCCCCAAGAGTTATTCAGTGAGAGCTTAAGAGACTGATGTGGACTCTAAACATAAATATCATACATTCACATGGTTTCATAAAGTAAATGTGGGTTTTTCAGGCTGCTTGGTTATTACTTATTCATAGTCCTGATCATTGTCCTCCACATTAAATAAAGTGACTGTAAACAGCTTTAAGTTAAATAACTTTGGTGTAGAGTCCTTCAGCTGTAAGTTTTTTTTTTAACAAACTACACTATAGTTTGTTGAAAAACTATACACAACATTGTGATTTCTGAGTGGATGGCCTGGTTTCGCTGCCTGAAGGAACTCCCATTGGTTAACTTTTCTTTACAAGGCACTGCTTGGACTTCTGCCGGTCTGTATGTATGTGTACTGCAATTGCACTGTTAAATGTTGACTCTTACACGATTTGCTGCTTCTTTCTGTCCCTTTTGCTTTGACTGAATTGGGTAAGAAGGCCTTCGTTCACTCTGCTCCCTCTTCTTGGAACTTGCTACAAGAAACTCTGAGATTGAATGAGTTCATCTCACTCAGTGCTTTTTCATCCAAACTTAAAAGTTATTGAGGCCAATTCAATGACACGTACCCGTTTTAATAGCTAGCTTGTTTTATAGTACCTGTTTTTATAGCTCGACATTTTCTTTTAACTGTGTAATTGTGTTGTATTTGTTGCTGCCTCTTGGCCAGGTCGCCCTTGAAAAAGAGGTTTTTAATTTCAATGTTTTTTTAAATCCTGGTAAAATAACGGTTAAATAAACATAAAACAAATAGTAGCAAAGTGACGGGCTGGGCTTTAGTCTTGTGTTGGTGATTTATTCTGGATGTCTGCCCAGAGCTGGGAAACATCCTGGAGCAAACATTTGTGGCTCTCCTGCTCCAAACGCTGTATGCAAACAAAGTGCAGCACAGAATTTCTTTAGAGTTTGGAATGAGGCGTGGCTGGAGTTTCACGACATCTTTTTGCTTTTAAAAAACAAAATATTATGGAAGTGTTGGTACATAGATGCCTGCACAATTTTTTGTAAAAAATAAAGGAAAAGTAAAGGGTTATAACCCCCCCCCCCCCCCCCCCAAAAAAAAATCAAGCAAAGGTAAATCCACTTCCTGTATGAATCTGAATTAGCTAATTAAGGAAAAAAAATCATCTGTCAAGGAAATAATGCAAATGGAGATCTTAAGTTAATAGTTTTTTTTTTATTGTGTCAGAACATTTACCTGTGGAGTAAAGAGGACGATTGTGATGCTGTCACTGCTCAGGACTCAAGAGTTGGCAGCTCTGTCAGTAGCAAATATATTCCCAAGAGTGATCTGATTCTGTTCCTCTTTACTACAAGTGAATCACCGTATGAGGAACAGTTTGAAGCCACTTTTTACTTTTAAATGTCTGTGAAAAGTTTTGTATTTTCAGTCAGAGATCAGCTTGCGTAGATTATCAGATTTATTTGATAGGAGTAATTTTATAGGGTTCATCTGAAGCAGCTTGGTTGTTGGTCCAAACATAAGTACTGATAAGCAAAAGTATGCTATTAAATTAATATTATGAAATGTATGTGGTCTGTTTGTTTCAAAGCAAATGGTGAAAGCCCACAGATGGTGTAACGTGTTTAGAGGTTTGCAGTGATGACTAGTTTTTGCGTCTGTGTTTCCAGGGAGCTGGCAGAGCTTCACAAGGTGAACGCCAGCAGAGCCAGTGAGGCCGAGGAGGTTGCTCTGAGCAGAGAAACCCAAGCGAAGGAGCAGCTGAGTGTAGCTCTGGAGAAGGCTCAGGAGGAGGCGAGGATTCAGCAGGAGGCACTGGCCAACCAGGTAACACAGATCAATGACGGAGATACTCAGCATGGACCATCTTTGTTTGCTTTAGATAAAAACAGAACTAATACAGCAACAAATAGTTTAGAGTAATATCTTGTATTCATCTTCACAGTGGGCAGATTTGTACATTTTTATACAGCTGGATTCATTTAGCAGCATTACAAAGTATTTCACAATGTATATTTTACCATTTGCTTTGTGTTTTCTAACGGTTATAAATTGGACTATATTTTAATGACTACTAAGTTTAAAGTATCACAAATTAGTGCCGCTCTTCAGTTTTACACAATAAGTTTTATTGCTACTTTGTGATTACTTTAGCACAAACTGTGCTTTAAATTACACATAAATAAAAGACCAAAAGCAGTGATGTCTTAGTCAGAAACTCCTGGTCATGTAGAATTTGGGATTTAATATTCAGCTTTGCAAGGAGTAAACACAGATTAAAACTTGAACCTTTTAATGAAACTTTAATTTGGTTTGGCTGTGCAGGTGGCTGACCTGAGGCTTGCTCTGCAGAGGGCCGAGCAACAGCAGGCAAGAAAAGAAGATTATTTGAGGGAAGAGATCAGTGAGCTTCAGCAGGTAATGAAAAGGTCCATATAATGTGTGTAAAGTACCGTAACTTCTGGACTATTGAGCGCACCTGAATATAAGCCGTGCCCACTAAATTAAAATGAATAAATCTGTACATGCATATATATGCTTGTATATAAGTCACGGATGTCCACGTTGTAACATGAGATATTTACACGAAGATTGTTTAAAGTTTTCATTTAATACGTACTGGTAATGTACACAAATACATACAGTAAATTTTTGTTTTTCTGAACAGTGCCTGTAACACGGTTGGTAAAAAAAAAAAAAAAACAGTAGCCTACCAGGAAGTCATTGTTCGCCAACTTCATCTTCCTCTTGTAGAGGATTTTTTTTTTACACTGCTCTGTAGGGGTTGAACGCCTACATAATTTTTAAACTCTACATTAACATAATAAAACTCGAGTAGAACTCGAGTAGTTGATGACGTCATAGGATCTCACGATGAAAAAATAAAAAAATAATAAAACCGCAAAAAAAAACATCATTTATTATTTACAAAAAAAGACCAACAAAACATTGGGAGCATATATTATGCTCCTACCATTTATCACACTGCAAATAAGTCACAGGAAAAACAAAACTATTAGTTATTAAGCTGCAAAAGTGAAGAAACGTGCAGCACATCAAAAATGAGACTACAAACAGTGGGGCGGTCGACCACCCCGCACCATCGCCAGCTGTGGTGCGCATTAGGTTTAGTTTTTGAGGTTAATATGTTAATTTGTCTGTGTATGTCACAGAAAATGGTATAACACCGGTTCGCAACAAGCTCCAAACAGTCAGGAAGTTGATTCGTTTTCTGTTTCCTTACGGTAGTTGAACCGGAAGATTCATCTTTAGTGAATTATTTCCAGACTATTGATGCATTTCTACCTGTTTGCCAAGACTGGACCTGCTCCGCTCCGTCTGCTTGGAGGAATCCATTTGGTAGCTTCTACTAGTAGCCCGGTGCGGATCACGTGACACGTGACGCTATGACATAACTGCGACGTAATGACGTCACTGCGAATACTCAAAGTGAAATTTAAAAACTTGATAGATGTCCTAGGAATCGACCTGTCGATTACTCGAGTAGTCTGTTAAAGCCCTACTGCTCTGCTGTCAGGATCCACAGGCAGGCTTGAGCAAAACTTGCTCTGAACATGAGGCCGGTTTTGGTAAACAATTTCTCACCGCTAGTAATTCTCCCACAGAGCTCCAAGTGCCACATTAATGCATGATTCACACTTATTTCGAGTGGATGGAAATACTTTGTTGTACCCCCAGGGAGGGGGGAAATAAATTTTCCCTGTTTCATTGGTCCACTGTGGCCTGTTTGGTCATTTAGTTTGGTCAGATTATGTTTTTGTAACCTTTATTTATACAGGTAGTCTCATTGAGTCATTAGGACCAACCCCCCAAGAGAGACGTGTATTGGGCAGTTATGTGAGCGCCCGGATGTGACGAGGCTAAATGTTTTGGCAGCTTGAAGCTTGTTAGTCCATCAAAAAAAATAAAACAACAAAAAAAATCCATACATTAGCTGCAGCATTGTTTAAGCCACTGTGTTCAAAGCCTGTGAAAAAAGTAGAGGCTTATAGTCCGGAAGTTACGGTAGTTTTTTAACAAGTATGCAAAAGCAAACTATACAGTTTTGACTGACAGTCCACGTTTCTCTTGCCTTTCAGAGACTGCAGGAGGCAGAGACAAGAAACCAGGAGCTCAGCCAGAACATGACCTCGGCTACACGGCCTTTACTGAGACAAATCGAGAACCTACAGGCTTCACTGGGCGGTCAAACTGCATCCTGGGAAAAACTAGAGAAGAGCTTTTCTGACAGGCTTGGTGAGACACTGGATACACTCTATATTAGTACAACAAGTACCGGTACTCAAAACCTTTTAACATAGTTTTGCTCTTTTCCTCAACAGTGGAAGCCCAGGTACAGCTGGCTGTAGCTGTGGAGAAAGAGCGATCGGCAACAGAAGAACTGTTATCTATGAAGTCTCAGCTGGCCTCTCTGGAATCCCAGAGTTCTTTGCTCCGTCAGGAAAAGGCCCGAATTCTGACACAGCTGGAGGCTGAAAAAAACAAGAGAGAGAAACTGGAGGATGAGAGCAGCAGGTAAGGTAAACGGCAAGCTGTGAAATTTGACTGTTTTTGACATCATTGGATTTTTCTTTGCCTTGTCAACGAATCTTTTAGTAGCTGACCTGACTTGCATTTGAACTTTACTAATCTTTGGGAGTAGTATATTTTAAATTCCAGAAATTATGAATTCACAGTGCCTATATACAGTGCCTTGCGAAAGTATTCGGCCCCCTTGAACTTTTCAACCTTTTGCCACATTTCAGGCTTCAAAAATAAAGATATAAAATTGAAATTTTATTGTGAAGAATCAACAAGTGGGACACAATCGTGAAGTGGAATGAAATTTATTGGATGTGTCAAACTTTTTTAACAAATAAAAAACTGAAAAGTGGGGCGTGCAATATTATTGGGCCCCTTTACTTTCAGTGCAACAAACTCACTCCAGAAGTTCAGTGAAGATCTATGGATGATCCAATGTTGTCCCAAATGACTGATGATGATAAATAGAATCCACCTGTGTGTAATCAAGTCTCTGTATAAATGCACCTGCTCTGTGATAGTCTCAGGGTTCTGTTAAAAGCGCAGAGAGCATCATGAAGACCAAGGAACACACCAGGCAGGTCTGAGATACTATTGTGGAGAAGTTTAAAGCTGGATTGGGATACAAAAATATTTCCCAAGCTTTAAACATCCCAAAGAGCACTGTGCAAGCAATCATATTGAAATGGAAGGAGTATCAGACCACTGCAAATCTACCAAGACCCAGCCGTCCCTCTAAACTTTCATCTCGAACAAGGAGAAGACTGATCAGAGATGCAGCCAAGAGGCCCATGATCACTCTGGATGAACTGCAGAGATCTACAGCTGAGGTGGGAGAGTCTGTCCATAGGACAACAATCAGTCGTACACTGCACAAATCTGGCCTTTATGGAAGAGTGGCAAGAAGAAAGACATTTCTCAAAGATATCCATAAAAAGTGTTGTTTAAAGTTTGCCACAAGCACCTGGGAGACACACCAAACATGTGGAAGAAGGTGCTCTGGTCAGATGAAACCAAAATCTAACTGTTTGGCCACAATGCAAAATGATATGTTTGGCATAAAAGCAACACAGCTCATCACCCTGAACACACCATCCCCACTGTCAAACATGGTGGTGGCAGCATCATGGTTTGGGCCTGCTTTTCGTCAGCAGGGACAGGGAAGATGGTTAGAATTGATGGGAAGATGGATGGGGCCAAATACAGGACCATTCTGGAAGAAAACCTGTTTGAGTCTGCAAGAGACCTGAGACTGGGACGGAGATTTATCTTCCAACAAGACAATGATCCAAAACATGAAGCCAAATCTACAATGGAATGGTTCACAAATAAACGTATCCAGGTGTCGGAATGGCCGTCAAAGTCCAGACCTGAATCCAATCGAGAATCTGTGGAAAGCGCTGAAGACTGCTGTTCACAAACGCTCTCCATCCAACCTCACTGAGCTCGAGCTGTTTTGCAAGAAAGAATGGGCAGAATTTCAGTGTCTCCATGTGCAAAACTGATAGAGACAAACCCCAAGAGACTTGCAGCTGGAACTGCAGCAGAAGGCGGCGCTACAAAGTATTAACACAAGGGGGCCGAATAATATTGCACGCCCCACTTTTCAGTTTTTTATTTGTTAAAAAAGTTTTGACACATCCAATAAATTTCATTCCACTTCACGATTGTGTCCCACTTGTTGATTCTTCTCAAAAAAATTAAAATTTTATATCTTTATGTTTGAAGCCTGAAATGTGGCAAAAGGTTGAAAAGTTCAAGGGGGCCGAATACTTTCGCCAGGCACTGTACAGTATTCACACTTTTTATTCATACTTTTTTACAGGCACTATAAACGTTTTCAGCAAGATCATAAAATCGTGATTACATTTTTTCTTATTCTGTTTCCTTTTGTTTTCAAAATGTTTCAATAAATGTTCCAATTCAAAATAATTCAATATAAAGAGAGCAAGCATGAAGTCCATATTTCTGTAGCTGGTTCTTTTTTTTTAAACACCGTGCAAAAGTTTTAGGCCTCGTTCATTTCTCTATATGTTCTATTGAACCAAACTCTACTGCAATCTTTTGTGAATTAGCAGTCAAAAACATTTTTTTATGCATTTGTGAAAGTGTTTTTATTTATTCTTTTATTTCAGTTGATTTTTCTACTCATTTTAAGTTATTTTTCACTGTCTATTTTCATACCATTTTTTTTTTTTTTACTTTACACCGGCATGTGAAGCAGTCGGGTATAAAAAGTTATGAAACAGTGTTGGCACAATTCAACAGACGAATAGGCAAACGGCTAATTTCAATAGAATTATTATATTTTTTTTGTTTAGAGCCATTTTAGTAAACTAGCCATTTAAACCCTGCTCTGAAGTAAAATGAGGGATGGCTCAAGACTTTTGCACAGCACTGTTTCTGTAAAGAAAGTCAACAGCTTAGATTTCTGAAAGATAAAACTGTCTCAAGGCCTCAGGAAACCGCAGGTCTTTTGTATTTCTAGTTCTTGTCGCTCTGTTTCTGTGTTCACTCATTTGTAAGGCTGCAGTACCGCCCACCTTCCACCACCCTTCCACCACCCTTCCACCCTCCTCCCCCCTTTGTGAGAAAGACTCATGCTGAGCCACGTGGCCTCTGCAGCGGTTTATCTTTGGTACGGAGGCAGGGCCTCACACAGGGCCAGTGGCGCAATGGATAACGCGTCTGACTACGGATCAGAAGATTCTAGGTTCGACTCCTGGCTGGCTCGATTCATTTTGATCCTATAAGAATTTTTTTTTTCCATTTCTTCGTACGGAAATAAATAGCTTGCTGTAAAATGTGTTTAATCAAACAGGGATACATGCAGACTTACTGTATGTCTCACTCAGTCACAGCAGTGGAGAAAAATTGCTGTACGACTTACAAAATAGTACGGTGACAAAACCAAAGGGATGTTGTTTTAAAACAGGAAGTCGGTCCCAGCAGTCCTTCCTCTTATCTTATCTCAAGGTCAAGGATATCTATTGTCATACACACCACATGTGGTACATGTGGTGGAACAAAATTGTGTACACAGTCCCAGTTACATCCAACAAAAGTATAAATTTCAAAAGAAAAACAGTAATAAGATCTAAGATATGAACTAAGAAAAATGCTAAACTAAGAATATGCTAAACGCTTAATAGTGCAAAAACAATACGCCAAACAGCAGCAGCATGAAATAAATCAGCAGCATGAGAGCAGTAGCATGGTTAGTCAGCAGAACATATCAACAATCACGTGGCATTACAGTGACTTTATTTTTTTTTCACAGTGATAATCCTGATTAGGGATTCATGAGTCTAACAGCTTCAGGGTAGAAGCTGTTCCTTAGTTTTCTCTTCAGTTCCTCAGTCTCCTCAGTCAACCTTCTACCTGAGGGGAGTGGGGCAAAAAGTGTGTGTGCTGAGTGAGCGAGGTCCTTCATGATGCAGGTCGCCCTCTTCCTGCATCTGGAGGTGTAGATGTCTGTGATGGTGGGGAGACTGACTCTGACAGACTTCTGTGCAGCCTTCACCTCTTTCTGCAGCTGTGCAGCCTCCATGCCACACGTTGATGCTGGAGCACAGGATGCTCTCCACTGCACACCTGTAGAAGGAGGTGAGGACTGAGCTTCCCAGACCAGCTCATCTCAGCCGTCTGAGGAAGTACAGTCTCTGATGAGCTTTCTTGATCAAGCTGGTGGTGTTGTTGCCCCAGCTGAGGTTGTCATTCAGGTGTACACCCAAGTACTTGTAGCTAGAGACCACTTCCACTGCAGATCCTCCTATATTTAGCGGGGTTTGTGCTTGTTCTGTTTGAAGTCCACGACCATCTCCTTCGTCTTCTTCACATTGATGTGAAGGTTGTTCTTCCTGCACCAGCTCTCCAGATGTTACACCCCCTGCCTGTAGCTGGACTCATCATTGTTTGTGAGGCATCCAACCACCACTGTATCATTTGCAAACTTTACAATATGACAGCCTGGATGGGTAGGTGCACAATCATACATGAGCAGAATGAACAGGAGGGGGCTCAGCACACAGCCCTGAGGGGTGCCAGTGCTTAGGGATACGGAGGAGGAGAAGTTGTGGATCCTCACAGACTGAGGTCTGTTTGTTAAGAAGTCCAGGACCCAGTTGCAAATGGAGGGGCTTAGTCCTAGTGTGAGTAGTTTTGTCCATCAGGGTCTGGAGAATCATGGTATTGAAGGCAGACATGAAGTCCACAAAGAGCATACGGACGTAGGAGTCCTTCTGTTCCAGGTTGGTGAGAGCAGTGTAGACCACAGAAGAGACGGCATCTTCTGTTGATCGGTTCTTGTGGTATGTGTACTGGTGAGGGTCCTCGTTGATGGTGATGGTTGTTTTGATGTGGATCATCACCATTCTTTCAAAGCATTTAGCGACTATCATGGTGAGGGCCTCTGGCCGATAGTCATCCAGACCAGTCACTGCAGAGCTCTTTGGAAATGGGATGATGGTGGCAGTCTTCAGGCAGGTGAGAACTGTTGCCAGGGTGAGTGAGGAGTTAAAGATGTCGGCCAGCACCTCGCAGAGCTGATCGGCACATTCTTTCTGCACTTTCCTGAGGATGTTGTCTGGGGCGGTTGCTTTGTGAGGAATAATCCTCCTGAATGCCCTCCTTAATTCAGCTGAGGTCACCCTGAAAAACTCCTCTCGGTCCCTAGGGCATTGTGCACATCTGCCTTTATAATCTGTTCTCTGCTTAATGCCCTCCACATGCTCCATGGGTCCTGTGAGGAGAAATGTCCCTTGATCCTCTGTGCATTTGTGGCTTAGGTTCTTTTAAAATCAGCATCCAGCTGTTGTGTTGTTTCACCATCTTTGAATGGTGTTCCTATTGAGTTTGTCGATTCTTACAAATACTTTGGTATTTTGGTCGATGCCCATCTCTCCTTTAAGCCCCATGTTGTTAAATGTTTTAACTGATGAATTTTTTAATTAATTAATTTAATATTTATTGTTATTTTTTGTGATTATGATACAGGGAGCATGCTGAATTGACAAATCTGCGAGGAGAGTACAGTCGCATGCAAGACGAAACCAAAAAGGAAAAGGTACCATAATACTTTTACTTGCTTCTAATATTATCCAGTATGAAACACCTTGTGATGTACTTCTACTGCCTTGACTAGCTGCTGCTGACCAACCAGCTTGAGATGGAAAAGATGAAGGTAGAGCAAGAGAAGAAGAAATGCTACTTGGCACAAGAAGCGCTGAAGGAAAAGGTTCAGAAGAAACTGTTTATCAACAATCTTTGTTTTTTTTCTTTAAATTCAATATAAACTTGTTTATTTAATATCTCCCCCGTCAGGAGCGTAAGGCTATGACACACTCCGGCGAGCTCCCAGGCTCCTCCACCCCCTCCTTGTCCCGCTCGAGCTCCGTCAGTGGGGCAGAGAATGCTGGGCTGCACATCTCTGTTCTCTCCCAGGTGCACCCGTCTTTCCTCATTGCCTTAATCAGGACTTACTCTTTAAAAAATACAAAGTCAAATGAAGTCTGTGAAGGTGAGTTTGTGTGTATGATTTTTTTAATAATATTGTTTGCCACAGGACGACTCTTTAGACCACTCTCTGGGAACCATGAGCATGTCGATGAGTGGAACCAACCTGTACGAGGCAGCCAGACTGTCCGGAGGCTCCAGCATCCTAGAGAACCTCCAGTCTCAGCTCAAACTGAGAGAAGGAGAAATAGCCCAACTGCAGGTATCGCACTGTACGACTTCAAAACATTTCATGTGTAGACGCCTACTGATGCAACGAAAAGCTCTGCGCGTCTGAACGTTTGCACCGATAATTACAGATCAGCCTTTTGCTTTTTTCACCCCGCGTTCTTAGCTTGAGATTGCTAATTTGGAGAGGAGTCGCTCTGTGATGGCAGAGGAACTGGTTCGACTCACAAATCAAAACGATGAGATGGAAGAGAAGGTGACGGAAATCCCCAAGCTGACGGTTCAGCTCAAGGTACAAAAAGCAAACAACACAACAGTTTTAGATTAAATGTTATTTAGAAAATACATGTGACATGAGTACCCTGGTTTCTGAATTATAGGTTCTGTTTCAGCTGTGCATGTGAAAAGTTGCAGAAATGTTGTTTTATTTCTGTTGCTGCACATTTTAGGACCTGGAGCAGAGGCACAACACCATTCTGCAGATGTACGGGGAAAAGGCCGAAGAAGCAGAGGAGCTGAGACTGGACCTTGAGGATGTAAAGAACATGTATAAAACCCAGATTGATGAATTGCTGAAGAATCAGAAATAAACTAGCTTCACTCAAATTTTTAACATTTTTCCCCTTTTGAGGCACAAATCAGTTGATTGTGTTATTCACAGAAAGGTATAGGCAAACATTTAAAGTTTATTCACTGTGAAGAAATGTTCTCATTGTATTTTATTTAATTTTACTTATGTATTTAATTTAAGTGGGAATGTTGAAATTACGTAAAATGTCGTCATCAAATCGGTATGAAGGATGGTCAGCCTTTGATGAAAACATCCTAGTTTAATCTTAAAGACATTAGTTTAAACCTGGCTGATGATTGAACCTGACGTTGTACAGAGTGACTGACAGGGTGAAGGATTTTTGCACTGTACAAATTTGTTTCCTAATTTTCAGAACTGTTTAAGAAATGTATATTAAACATAAACTATTGTACAAAGTACTGTTTGTATTCTGAACACAATACAAATCACAAAATTCAGTGTGTAACTGCGAGTAGTCTGTTGGATTTTAAACTGTATACATGTGTCAAACGAATAAACAGATTTGGGTGGTGGAAAATGTCATTATTTAAATGTATGAAAGCACATTTAGTGTTTGCACTTCCACCCAATTCACTAAGAAAAGTATTCTTATTAAACATCAATTAATTTTAATAACCATAATATCTAAAATTGATTGAAAATCATATTTCATGCACATACTGGATCACATTAGTTTTAAATATATATATATTTTTAGTAAATTCTAGGAACAAATTGCACACATACAATACATACGATGATGCATGTGTAACACACATGTAGATGCATATATGATGCATCTACATGTGTGTTACATGTCACTTTGTCAGTGCAGCTACAGCGTGCACACTCGAGACATAATTACCTGCAGTGTACCCTCAGTGTGGACCGAACTTGGCAAAAGGGCCTTCTTTGCAAAAAAGATCTGAAGTTGTCAACTTTGACCTCTGGGACTTTAAACAACTGTTCATTGCAAAAACCAATGCAGACTGTTTTTTGTATTTTACATCATTTTTTAATGTAGCTGGGTTTTGTTTCAATTTTATATTAACTCATTCACCCGTTATTTATACAGGTTAGTTTCATTGAGTCATGGGGACTCATTTACAAGATAGACCTGTTAAACATTTATTTTATTTACTTTCCATTTTATATGCTTTTATATGATTGTCTGTTGTTGTATGTACCTCATCTGTGTTTGTCTAAAATGGGTCTAAATGAGTCCTCGTGACTCAATGAGACTAACCAACAAAGTCCATGCTCAATAATCCAGGTATACAATCCAACAATTTTCAGTCAGTTCATCTGGACAGTTTCTTTTTTGTGTGCTGAAACGTTTCACCTTCCATCCAGAAGGCTTCATCAGTCAAAGAAACACGCAACACAAAAGTGATTCTTCCCCCAACAGCTTACTAGAAAGTGGAACAAACCAGTTTTGTTGGTGCTAAGATGGTGTCTTTGGCATGCCCACTCCTCCAGTGCCGGCCCTCGTCCTCGTCGACAGTCATGTCAAAATGTTTCAAAACCAACAAAGTCCATGCTCAATAATCCAGGTATAAAATCCAACAATTTTCAGTCGGGTCATCTGGACAGTTTCTTTTTACGTGCTGAAACGTTTCACTTGGGGGCAGTACAGTGGTACTGGCAACCGGTAGAGCTGCTGCCTCTCAGCAAGCAGGTTGCCCTGGTTCAAATCCCGGACCAGAGGCCCCACTAGGTGGAGTTTGTATGTTCTCTCCGTGCATGTGTGGGTTTTGTCCGGGTACTCCAGTTTCCTCCCGCAGACCAAAAACATACATGTTAAGGCTAAATGGTAACTCTAAATTGTCCCTAGGTGAGAGTGAGTGAATGGCTGTTTGTTTCTATGTGGCCCTGTGATGGACAGGAGACTCGTCCTGGGTGCCCCTCACACAGTAACCGCTGGACATGGGCACCAGCAACACAAAAAGGAAGAAGCAGGTAAAAGTAATGGATGGATGGGTGTGTTTTGCACGTGTTAAAAGCCTACTTTTGAGATTCCAGCAGGAGGTTGGCTTGAAGCACAGCAGTGAAGACTACCTATGGGACAGATCTGGTTGGCAGGATGTAGACTGAGGAAGTCCTCTGGATGGATGGGGGACGAAACATATCTCACTTAAAGAAACTGGTCCAGATGACGTGATTGAACCTTTTTTTTGTTGTAAAAATAAAGGTTGAATGAGACTAACCTGTAAAAATAAAGGTTGAATCTGTAAAAGGTTGAATGACTGAAGGACCGTCTGGAACTGATCTGACGTTTGGCGCCATCTGGTGGCCGCTCGTGCACACCGCACACCGTTAACTTGTAGGATTTCCGGTGTTATGGCGACCACCGGCAACATTGTTGCTATGTGAGAGGGCAGGCTGTGCCTTTAGGTAACCCGGCTCGTATTCCTAAATAGGGTTATTTAGTTAAATAATGACGCTGGTTCGGATGTAGTTCTGCCGCGACAATGACTCCATTTTTTCCTTCCAGTTTGTGTGACGCGTCCAATCCTCCGCGTTAATTACTGAGCGGAATCTGCAGACTTTCTTTGTAAGAACTGGTGCTAGATGTTAGCCGCCGTGTGTTGCATTTCAAACCTCTGTGGGCGTCTGAAAGTATCTCTCATTTCCTGCTTCCTGTCGAAGATAACGTGAAATTCCCGCACGAGCTGAAGAGTTGCCTCTGCACGCGCCTGCCTGTTGGTTGGCTGCAGAGAATTAATTTAAGCCGCTGACGCACATTTGACAAGTTTGTGTTTCTGTGTGTAAATGGTGTCAGGTAACCCGTTATGCCCTCAGGACATAGACCCACTTCCCCCACGATTACTTTCCTTGTTCAGTGGTGGAAATTGTTTCAAATACAGTGGAAAACTGTTAAAAACTATCAATTCACAAATTAAACCACAGTTATCAGGAAGTTTGAAGGATGAAGCTAACACAGGTTGTTTAGTCTCTGTAACTGATTTTTTTCTCTCCATTCAACCTTTATTTATACAGGTTAGGTTAATTTATGAAAGCTTTTTCTACTTTTCTTGTATTAAAAGTCACTGGTCATCCTCCCTTAATACAGTATTAACCTTTTTAAATAGACAAATCCCATTGAGATCACATTTATTTTGCAAGGACGGGCCTGAAAGCAGCCTAACATACATGTTTTTTGGATTGTGGGGGAAAACCCACGCAAACATGAGGAGAACACGCAAACTGCACACATAAACACCCCATAGGCCCAAACAAGGAATTGAACCCAGGACCTTCTTGCTGCGAGGTAATAGTGCTAACAATTGACTTGTCATGCTGCCAAATTTAGACAAATGCAAATATAAACCTTCAAATTTGGAGTAGTAATTGGGTACGATACTTAATTGTACTAATTAAGTTACATTTCACAAGACTTTCCACAAAACCATGAGATTTATTAAATGATTTACCACCTATTGTTACACTATAAATAGTTTCCTGTTTTTTTCTTCCTTCAGATGTGAAAAAGGTTTTATGACTATTAAAGAGGCTGTTCAGTCATCACTCATTCATATAAGCAAATAATGTCATTTTTCTAGACCACAGAAGCACATACACACTTAAATCCTGGAAAAGTGGCTTTTGTTGATAAATGCAAGTAATTATTAGACTGTTTTCCTATTTCAGATCCTGTTAACAGCAGCCAGCAGAGCTTCTTTCGTCCTGTAAGTTTCAGAGGGAATTGTTCAGGCAAGAGCTTGGAAAAAGGTCAGTGTTATTTCCTGCAACAACCCATCCTTATGAGGAGATCCTGCCACGTTCCCACACGCCTGCTTGTGCCCACATGCTTAGGCACTGTGTTGCTGGGCTTTCAACCCCAGCTGCAGAGTGCTCGTCTGAATCTGTGATCTCTCCCAACAGAGTGCTGCGAAGAGAGGCGGCTGCTCCACGTGCCCGTGTCCCACTGACTATGCTGCTCTTGGTTGCACTGGGCATAGTTTTGTCTCTTACTGCAATCACCACAGAGAAAGCTGAGATTACCAGCAACAAACCAGCTGCACCACTGCTCAACTACAGCAGGATCTCCCTGCCACCAGAGCACATACCTTACTTCCTCCACAACAACAAGAGGGTCGCAAAGTTATGCCACCTAGACCCACTCTGCCCCTTTAAAGTAAGACATGGACCTTGTTCCTGTAATTACTCTTTCTTTTTGTGTATTGTATGTCATTTTTGTTCTTCTGTTAATAGGCTTTTCTAAGATTCACTTATTTATTTATTTATTTTTAGTTTTAACAAGTATTTGAAAACTGGTTTTGTTGTAGTGTGAGTTGGGAATTGATTTGACACTTTAGTTAGCACTTGTTCAGCATTAGGGTTAATTAATCTAAACGCTGAAACTAATCTGGGGGGTTTATCTGTCATGTGATGGTACTACCGGTAGTTGGATGCTTCAGTAAAGTAAGCAATGGCAGCTGGAATATTTTCCAAAAGAAACATATTTTTTCTTGAAGAAAATCTCATGTTTTGTTCGTAACTAACACGTTTATAACAATTGATGTGTGCAATTTAGTCTGGTATTTGCTTTATCTTTGGATTAAAACTATACCGGTAGTTGAATGATGGTTTGAGATAAAGTTGACTCTAAATTTTCTAGGGCCCTAGTAGATTTTGATTTAGGGTCTCTATTTCAATTAATCCAGCACAGTGTCACCTTCTCAAAGCTTTGAAATTCACATTGTCTGCATATAGTAAAATAATAGACTACAAAACACTGTATTCTTTTCACGTTCATTTTTATTTAAATCCAATTTGTTTGTGCATATGTGCAGTTTGCAGCTGGGGGGGCGGGGGGGGGGGAGGTGTCAAGTGAAGTGTTGTGTTTACGAGTCAGTCACGTGTTGAGCTCTAATTTCCAGCAGCTACACTGTGCATGGACTGTGAGCCAGCTCAGACAAAAGCAGCCTACAAATAATAAACTAATACGAATAAATTTTTACTCTGTTAATACAAATATCCATTTATTTAGGCTTTATTTTGGGTTACTATTACAACTTCTGGAGATTAGACCAGCTACCAATTCAAATTCAAAAATACTTTGTTAATCCCAAAAGGAAATTAAATGTTGTAACTAGTTATCCTCCTTTCATTAAGAGATGTTATAGATGAGGAGATGAGGATGAGTTGAGGACTGAACTAGGCAAAAGGACCTTCTCCTACTTTGCTCCTGTTTCCTGGAATACCTTACAAAAACAATTGAAGCTCTCGACCTTGACCTCTCTAAGTGGCTTTAAGAATCTGTTGGACTCCTGGCAGGGACCAATGCAGACATGTTCCTGTTTTTAGTTTTCTACATTCGCCTTAGAATCTAGCTGTTTTTTTTTGTTGTTACTTTTTTCTTTTAGCCATCCTATTTGTTATAAAAAAAACAAAAAAAAACAAACTGCAGTATGACTTTTTATAACTGTTTATTGTTGCCGCTGTTGTCCATTGTTGTCATCATTCTTTGTTGAAATCAGGTCTCTCTTGTAAATGAGTCCTCGAGGCTCAATGGGATTTACCTGTCTAAATAAAGGTTGAATGAAAAAGATACTGCTGTAGGCAGGAAGGATCTCTTGTAAAGGTCCCACGGCAGATCTGAAGAAACTGGCCACAGATGCTGTCTGATCCGTCCACCCAGACTCGACTGGCCTCTTGGTTCCCTTGGGCTGCAGGACTGCCCGATTGCCGGGCAGAACTCCTCCCAGAGCGATGGCCACTCCTCCCAACAACCTGCTGAGTTCCTCGTCGCTGCAGACAGCCAGCTCAGGTGTCGGGGAACGATCCCGGTCCTTCTGCCGTTACGAGCCACGCTTCCTGCCAGTTCCAAGATCTTATAGGTCAGGCATTCGAGCACAGCCAGCAAGGAGACGGGAATGCATCCATGGTGCCTCCTTTTCAAGTCATTTGAGATTTGGGGCTGTAGTTGAAATATTATTTGAGCTTTTGAAATTAATCAGATGCTCCCGGTTGTAAAAAAAACAAACGAACAAACAAAACATTCTTGCCATGGTTACGCATCATAACAAATGTCCAAAACAAACAACAAAAAAAAATCAGTAAAAACCTGCTTTCTGTGAGAATTAAAGTACCCTGCTGCCCTGGAGGCTTTAAGTAGTTGCTTAGTTCTCATGCGCTTCAGGCCACTTCTGGTTTAAGAAAAGCATTGTTTTTTTTTTTAATGTTGTGTTTAAATAAATTGTGTTCTCATAAAAATTAAAAATCCTTAGCTTTGTTGGTTCTGTGACCAATGTAGTTGATAATTGCCCCTCAGATGTTTTTTGGGTGTGTAAATTAAAAATGAAGGAACTGGAAAAGAAAGTGTTTGTTTAAAACAACAGCAATGGACTTGTATGGAATAATACTGTTTTTAATGACAGGATGTGCTGCAGAGCCAGTCTGTCTGCTGGGGGTATGAGAAGAACTGCAATTCATCAAAACGCTTCAGCTATCCTGTTTGCACCAAAGCTGACTCCGGATGGTAATTTTCTAACATCACATTTAAACACAGATCACTTATCAATTTTTTGTTCTATTCTCCAATTAGTCTTTCATAATGTGTTCAGTATGCTTTAACAATTTTACCTCTACAGTCTCCTTCAGTGTACTGAAACTAAGATGTACTTTTATGTACTGTGCTTCATTTATGATCCATTATGGTGCCTAAATCTGTGATCCATTAGGGTCCGTTCACTGGATGCAGCTCAGGAGCTTTTCTGGAAGCAGGCTGATTTTGGTTACGTCAAAGAGCGAATCTCTGAACTCAAAACACTTTGCAAGTCGAGCAAGTCAGTAAGTCTGCTCATTTCCTCATTTCCCACAGGCCTCCCGAGTCAACAGGAAGAAACTACAGGAAGAAATAGACACACTGTCCAGAAAAAAAGTTGAAAAAGAGTTGAATCAAAATACTGTACTGTTCATGATATAATATAAAAATAATCTTTTATAGAAACAAAGGTCTCCCAAACTTTAAGGTACATACTTCAATGTAAAATAAGGTTGAACTATCTTCTGACATACTTTACCCTCACAGGGTGATTCGTCATTAAAGTGCAGCAGTCATACTAGATTCTGCAGAGCAAAAAATCTTTACCTTGATTTGCGGAAACCACGCAGGAGTAATGAGAGGTCTGTGTAAATAAATGTTTTAAAGAAATTACTTAGTTCTCAATTATCAGAGTGATTAAAATCTTTGCAATGCTTACACTACAGGTATAAAGAGGACTTCATTCATACGGGCGAGATTGGTGGACACTGCCAACTAAATAGGCATGCACTTGCTGCTGAAGGGGATCACAAGAGCCCTTTGCAGTCTTGGTAAGGAACAACATTCATATAATCATTCAGACAGGGCAAAATTATTTATGATTATTTATTTCGTACTAGGTGACAACTCAAGAGGCTTTACAAATTGTAAACAAAATTTAAAAGGGCAAGAAGATACTCACACATGCAGATACAAAATTTAAATTATTTAAAACAATTGTTTTCATTTAACCTATTAAATATTTTCATTTAACCCATTCAGTTACTAAAACCAAAACCAAACAAAAAATTATTAATTAAAACCAATTTTGTATAAACAAGAATGTTTTTACTTTAGATTAAAATGTGGCCAGATTAGGGTCAGGTCTGAGTTCCTCATGCAGTGTGTATGACAGATAAGGCGTATAAAAACGTTGGTTACGTACTGTAACCCCAGATTCTATGAGTATAAGCATAGCCCTTTAAGGCTTTCGCTTGGTGGGTTTATCCCGTTATGCGGAGCATTGCACTGAAATATTTAGTCCACGCCCACCTGCTGTGTGGGCCCTACCCGGTCCGTATAAATTACGTTAAGAGCGGGAAATCGGCTCCCAAAAATAGCTTTTTCTTCAGCCATTTAGGAGCCAGTGAGGCCCGACGCTTAAAGGGCTACGCTTATACTCATAGAATCTGGGGTTACTGTACGTAACCAACGTTCTATTTCGTATAATCTTCGCCCTTTAAGGCTGTCGCTTGGTGGGTTAAGGGCAAAGCAGATGTGGTCCTCGCCTCACTGGGTCCATTCGAACATCGTATGAAGCAGAAGCTTGCCCAAAAAAAGTCTTGTCACTCAGCTCCCCATGTGCATAATTACGCATTGCGTAATTATGTGAGCCGTGCACAGACGCATGTTGTGTAACTATGCGTTCATGGCTGAACAGTATAGACAGATTAATAATAACAAATGAACTGATTATTAATCAAATCAACTGATTGGTAACAATAGTCATGAACTGATTAGTGACAATAGAACCAAAATAACAGACACAACTTGTGACTGATAACATCTCACACTGTGAAGCATGCAGACAGATGTGAGCTTAAACAGAGTTCCATGAAAACAACAATATTCATTCTGTTAGAGCACTAAGGACAGAATGTGTCATGGAATGGGCCGTCACATCACGTAGATAAGAGCGAATGAATGAGCAGGGTGTTGACCACGCGGCCGCAGCGCAAATGTCCTGCATTGTCATACCATTATGCAAAGCAGTCGAAGATGCGATACCCCTGGTCGAGTGCGCCCTGAGGTTGACAGGAAGCTCTAAAACTGATGCTCTGTAGGCTTCAGAAAAAGGCCTCACACAGCCCGTGTGACAAGCGCTGGGTGGATAATGGGCGACCTGCAGGTACATCTCTATAATGCACAAACAAATGTTGAGTTTGGCGCATTACAGCTATGTAACACGTCAACGCCCGCACCGGACAGGTAAGATGCTTCTTCTTCTGATCTGTGGGGGGGTAGGGAAAAACCCCTCCAACGATATCGCTCTTGATTTAAAAGAGCTCGTGATGTTTTTAGGCATAAAGGCTGGGTTTGGTCTTAAATCAGCTGAGCTGCCCGTCAGCCTGAATTCTAAGACATGACGGAGCGACAGAGAGGGCAGATAAATCACTCACTCTCTTAGCGGATGTTAAAGCCAGCAGCAGGGCTGTTTAAAGAGACAATAATTTAATTGGAACCTGATCCAGAGGCTCAAATGGAGCTTTGATCAGGGCTCGCAGGACCAGCGTTAAATCCCACTGTGGAACAAGTGGGCGTGAAACAGGCCTGCGTCTTTGTACGCATTTTAGAAACCACTTCATCAGCGGGTGATTAAAAGCTGTTCTGTCTCCGAACCCTTCGTGGCAGGAAGAGATGGCTGCAGCGTAAGTTTTAATCGTGCTGAATGCCAACTTCCTATCCATCAGCTGTTGTAGAAAAGACAGCACGTCGCCTAATGGGCATGAGGTGGCCTCTACACCTTTCTCTGTACACCAGTGCTGAAAAACTTTCCACTTTGATATGTACAGCGCTGTGGTTGATGCAGCACGTGAATCCTGGATTGTGCATACTACCTCCTGTGGGAGACCCATCCTCTCTAAGCGGAACCGCTCAGTGGCCAGACCCACAGGTGCTGGCCTATTTCTGGGTAACTCCTGATCGCTCCTCCTGCCTGGAGGAGAGCATCCTCCCTCCATGGCAGTTTCCATGGGTGCCCCGACAGCAGGCGTTGTAGGGCTGAGAACCATGGTGTGTTCCCGCACTCGGGGGGCCACCAGGAGAGCTGTCAATCCCTCCTCCTGAACTCGGTTCAGGAACCGTAAAATCAGAGGAGGTGGAGGAAACGCGTACAGAAGCGTTTTGGGCCATGGGCTGTGGGCAAACGCATCCACCCCCAGTGGTGGTTCGTCTCGCGGGCTCAGAGAAAACCATAGTTGACACTGAGCGTTCTCTCGTGTCGCAAACAGGTCCACAGCTGCTTTGCCAAATTTCTGCCACGTCTGAGTCATCAGGTCTGGATGGAGAGTCCAGTCCCCGTGACGTGGGCCGCCCCTGGACATCACATCTGCCCCTTTGTTCAGAACACTGGGTATGTAAACTGCTCTGATGGAGAGCAGCTTTTGGTGAGCCCAACACAGAAGCTTTCGCGCAATGTGTAACATCTGGGCTGAGCGCACACCCCCCTGTCGGTTTATGTACGCAGCAGTCACCTTGTTGTCTGTGTGAATCAACACGTGTTGATTCAGTAGCACAGGAGCAAAGTGCTGAATCACATTTAGCACCGTACGACACTCCAAAACATTTATGTGGGCTGATGTGTGATGGGGCCACAGCGCCCCTACTGCTTGAGATAGGCATGTCCCCCCCCAGCCTGACAGCGACGCGTCTGTGAAGACTGACACGTGTGACGTGGGTCTGCTGACGGGGGCTCCCTCCGACAGCACCAGGGTGTTTCCCCAGTGTCGGAGGTCTGCCCTCACGGAGGGAGGAACAGTGATCATCCGTCTCTTTTGTTTTACTGGATCCACACGCAGACGCACAAACCACCTCTGGAGGCGTCTCATATGTGATAGACCCAGCGGGACCACTGTGTGAGCTGATGACATAATTCCTAACAGCTTCATGACGGAGACAGCTGTTACCACTCTGCCAGGTCTTACGTGGCGGAGCTGGTCTTTTAAAGTGTCAATTCTCGTTTGTGATAAACGAGCCTTCATGGTGGTTGAATTTAACTCCACTCCCAGATAAACAATTGTCTGGGCCGGGAAAATCGAGCTTTTCTTCCAATTTATGGTGAAGCCCAGATTTAACAGGTGTGATGTCAACACCTGAGCCTTCATCACTGCTTCCTGTCTGGAGCGTGACAGCAGCAGCAGGTCGTCCATGTAAAACAAAACTCTCATCCCTGTTCTGTGTAATGGATGCAGGGCTGTCTCCACACACTGAGAACGTACGAGGCGCGAGGGAATACCCGAACGGCAGCCTGTTGTACTGATACTTCATCCCCTGAAAAGAGAAACGCAGGAATTTTCTGTGTTTTGGGATGATCGGTATGTGAAAATAAGCATCTTTTAGGTCGACGGAAAAACAAACCAGTCGTTTCTCTGGATGTTGTTCAACAGCTGTCTGGATGTCAACATGTGAAAACGGTTTGTCCATGATCGCCTTGTTGAAAGCTGACAGATCCAAAATCGGTCTCATCCCTCCGGTCCGTTTGGGAACCAGGAAGTAACGTAAGTAAAACCCTGTGTTTTCCTCTCCGTTGGGAACCCTGGAGATTACCTTTATCAGAAGCTCTTGGACTTCTGCATTTAGGGATGAGATTTGGTCTGGTGATGACAGGACCGTCTCTAAAACTCCTCCGAACGGAGGGGGTCGGGTTGCAAACTGTAACTTGTAACCTTTGCATAATACCCTGTCCATCCATCTGACCGGCGAGCATGTTTTTAGCCACTCTGCGTAACGTTCGTGGAGTGAACGTGCGTTTAAGTGATGCGTCATGTTTTGTACGGATGTCACCAGTCCGCCGCCTCAACTGCCGTCATGTGTCGCGGAATGTTTTCCGCGTGACCCAAGGCGAGGCTTCCTCGAAAAGGCTCTGAACGTGCCCGTGCGCTCAGTTCGGACCGCGGACCAACCTTCATGTACAGGTGGGCGGTGTGTGCTGAGGCGAAGCGTGTGACAGCTGATGACGCCGTGGGGCTGCACATTCGACGTCGCTGTGCGAACGTTGAGAGGCGGAGATCGTGACTTCATCTACGCCGTGCTGTTGGAGTGAAGGCTGCGAGCCCCGCGGGAGCACACGTTTTCTCTTGAGGGACGCGCGCCACTCTCGCTGGAGGGACGCGCGTCGCTCTCGCTGGAGGGATGCACGCCGCTCTCGCTGGAGGCGAGACTCGTCACCGGGTTCGTTCAGCTGTCTCATGCTTGTGCTGTTGTGAGCTGCCGAGCGCTGAGACGCGGTGGGTGACGGCTGCCCGCGTCGCGGCTGCACGTGTTTGCTTCGGTGAGGCGTGTGTTGTTTTGCTGAAAAACGAGGACCTTCACCGGACCCGGCCTGCGGTCCCACATTTATACCGCTGTGAGCCGGTGAGCGCCGGGCAGCTGTGTGTGTGCCATCATCAACGCAGCGCTGTTTGGATGAAGGCTGTTTGCATCGCACGAGTGCGCGTTTGACACCGTTTGGGTGAGGATCATGCAGCTCGGGTTGACAACGAGTTATTTCGCTTACCATCGTGTCGTGTGAGCGTCTCGTCATGTCTTGGAGCGACGGTGAGTTTAAAAAACCTTTATTTAAGGACACCGGCTCGTTATGTGTGGAGGATGTGTGTGTAGCCGCTGTGAGTTCATCCGAGCTTACAGACTGGCTAAAAACAGACACTTTGATCATTGAATGATGGTTTATTTCAACTTTCGTGTCACTTTTACACACACCCTCCGCAGACCGTCATTTTTTAAAATCTTCTCCCCCGTGAGCTCTGCGATTTGTTTGCCCAGAGTGCTGTCTGCAGGCGATCTCTGGGGAAAC